TTGGTCTCGTCTGCAGTGTTTAAGATGTGACTGTGTGTACACAGCTCTCCACTGCAGTAACATGAATCTAGAGGAAATATACGGTAGTTCTTCCAGCATGTGGATAACTTTCCCCCCTGTTTTATTGTTGACAAAGTAGCAGATTGGAAAGAAAGTTTATTGCACTTTCGAACTGTTGCTGAAAATATGATGGACTGGTGAAATTATGTTTTGTCTTTCCTGACTTCAGCTTGTAATAAATAAAAGATATATAAACCCAAGAGTGATGGTGAGAGAATATAAAACGGTGACAGATTGTAGTTTGTCTGTTCAAATATACTGCTGTGAGACTCTAAACTAAACTTAACCATAAAGTTTTAGGAGACAAACCTTTTTGGCTGACACTTTAATTTTCAGCTGTGTGCTGCAGGTGCTTTTTCCCTCAGTTTTTTGGGGAACTGCATATGTGGAGTACTGCTGTGCCGTGTTCTTTCTGCATGTATTTGTCTCAATGTCTGTCTATTTTCTGGGACCGTGTTCCGTCATTGATCTGCAGCTCATTGATCGTCAGAACCAGATGAGCAGTGATGATTGGGAAGCTTCATTTCCACACCACAGATAGACAGACCTGACGGAGCTTCGAGCTTCTGAAACACGCTCATCCATCACCGTGGACTCTCTGTATAAACTGTTTGAGGGTCACTCAGTGTGTGGGTCTTCATCCAAGGCTGATGACGAACGCAGTGACCAGTGGCTGAGTGAGATCCATAACCTTCCATCAGTCAATAACAGAGGCTGGCTGTGGTGTGGCACGGAGCCACACTGCTGAGTGTGGGTGTAAAACACACACTCTCACACACGAGGGCAACTAGTTACTGAGATTATTTCTGTTTATATGGAAGGCCTGTGTTTCCCCCTGTGATCACTGGATAATTACACGCTTTGTTTCCTCATCAATTAAACACGAGCCACTGATATTTACTGATGTGCTGATATGCAGCAGGCGGTTGCAGACCACAGTCATTGGCCACAAAATACTAATTATCACATCATTTATTACATTACCTTACATAAGTATAATAATAAAATATAAAATAATAAAAAATAAAGTAAAAAAATTACATAACAAAGAAAATACATTTTTTTACAAAGGATTTTAATAAAAAAGTGTACTGAATACTTTAAAAATATACATTCTTGTATACAGTTAATAATTTAAAAATGTATTCAGGAATTAAATGATTTAAGAAATGTTTAGTGTAATAAAATGCAAAAAGTGAACAAAAGGGAAATACAGTACAATAATAATAATAATAATTAACCTGATCAAACCCCGTGCAGTGAGTGTGTCAGGAGCGTCAGTCACCGAGTGTTGTGTCACCCAACATTTAATCTTTATTACAGATCCCCACATCACTTGACAGCTCCTCTCATCATTTGCATGAGTTGGCTCTTTTGAACGGAGCGAGGAAAGACTTGCTCTTTTGTTCTCTTTGAATATGAGCAGCTCTGCTCAGAGCCTGAGCTCCAGGGTCAGCCCCCTGTCTGTTATCATTCATCTGCAACACGTCTTCGTCCCGGCACATGTAATATAAATGAGATGTGAATGAAAGGGAACAACATAATAGAGCAGGTTTTTATAACTGGAATTTTTTTTATATTCTGACTCACTATAAACGAACTGTTGTTTTTAACTCATCTGTAGAGACTTGACACAGTTACAGACAAAGCTCAAAACAACTTCCAGGAAAAAAATCTTTTGTCCTAATAATTTCTTTATGATTTTATAACTGATGGCACAATACACACCCCACAGTCCCAGTTTTCCCTGTGGGCTTCTTTTGGCTGCAGCTCTTACCCTGCTATGACTGAATCAGACATTTGAATTCAAACCAACGTAATGGAGCATCAGTCATCGCCGTGTCCAGAGTGTTGCCGTGTCATAGAGCAGTAACAGTGGAGCTAAGGTGTGAGATGTCCTCTTTGTTCCTAGTCCCTACAAGTCCACATTCAAATACATACAACTTTTAACAGGGCAGAGAAGAATCTCTGATCAAACCAAGAGTCAATGCTAACATTTACACCAGTGGTTTTCAACTTTTTTTGGCTTTTGACCCCATTTTGACATTACAACATTTCTATTGGCCTCTGCACCAATGCACTGCCTAGGTTTTACTTTGCTCCAAGTAAATGGAGTTTTTATTTTTTATTAAGCTGATTAAAAACTGCAGGAGTATGCATATAAAGGCACTTGTTAAATGTATTATATTTTTTTCTTATATGTATCTTCATCAAAAGGCTGGGTTTATTTTTAACCCAGTTCCAGATCGCTGCAGGGCCGAGTCTTGGGCTGCTGCTGTAAATATGGTCTACTGTACAACTCTGTTCAACTCCCTGTAGACTTGATCTTCATACACAAACACATCGTCATTCTGCCTAATTAACAGCACCACACTTCCACACTCTCACCTTTGATGTCATCTGTTCCTCACAGCGTCTCACAGGCTCCCACCCACTCCTCCTCCTCCTCCTCAGCCCTGTGGAGGCTGAAAGTGAAGGTGTTCCTCACAGAGCCTGCGGGTGGTGCATCATTAACCCACATTTCATGGTCTGGTGGGAAAGCTTTTGCATATACGTGCAGTGTGTATGTGTGTGTGTGTGTGGAAAGGCATCTAAAAGGAAGGGAAAGATGGGAATATTTATGCTAACCCATGAAAAGGAATCTGTTGAAGCTTAAAACTCTTTCCTTTGTTCGTTTTATTGCCTTTTTAACCATTTCTCATTGACGTTTCAATGCTAATGTGCACTTAAAGCAGGGAATCCATCATGCATTCAAATCTGTGATGCATTTAAGCCTGTAAAACATCAGCAAACACAATTTATGTTGTGCATTAACAAGAATTACTTAATTATTTTCAAACATTCTTCTTATTGTTTCAATGTAAATGTTTTATTGAGCATTTATTTGCAATTGATTGCCTTATTTTTAATAGGTAGAGTGGCTTTAAAATAATATATAAAATGCCCTTCTATTACCTGTGGCTCTCTGTCGAAGGAAAAGGAAACAAATCCATTTTAATGCATTTTGTGACTACATTTAAATGAGGAAAAAGTCTGTTTAAATTCTTCATTTCTTGTCAAAGCACCATTAGTATTAGACCCTTCTGTAAATGTTGATCCTGTTCGACCCACAACTAAGCCTGCGTTTTAAATTTCAGCCCCTTGAGTGATTGAATTTGACAACCCAGATCTATACCCATGGAGAAAGTTCTTTAAATCCTAAAAAAATCTAAATTCTGACTCATCTGTCTCTCTCTTCTCTGGTCCCTTTTTGTCTGTCTTTCTTCAATAGAGACAGTGAAGACAGATATGTGGTGAGCGATCCAGCTGGCATTGAATCAAACCAGTGAATTACTCCTTGGGGCATTTACATTATGTCCATATGATATGCTTTTCCAAGTATCAGGTCACTCTCCTGCTCACCTCTTTAATGTGATGGCAGCCTTTTTGTAAACGAATACATCTTGTAGCAGTTAATTTGCAGCCGCTGCGGATCCTGCAGAGCTTTTACTCTAGCCTCTCCTCCGTCCAACCTCCGTCTGACAGGAGATAAGGAGGCAAAGAGCTTCGTTAGTGAGTCTAGTCTCTTATTACCTGTTGTCCTGAATGCTAAAACAATGGCTTGTTCCTTGGTGACTTTCCAGAGAAAGCATTTGAAATGTGGTCGTATCGCAGATTTTACAAAATGAATGTTAGGGTCATGGGGAATGTCTGCTCTTACTGCTAATCTGACCCAAACTGTAATCCTAATTCTAATCCAAGTCTATTTTCCCAAAAGAATGTATAGCTTTACTAAGATCCCACACACCACACTTTATTTCCAATGAAGGTGGCTGATAAACAAACAAACAAACTGAAGCAGCAAAACCAGCACATGTCATCATTTTAACAGACAGGATTAGTCAGTTTAAGGTGAAAAAGAGGCCATTATTCCTACGTCAGTTATTCTGAGCTTCATGGATCGAGGGAGCTGGTGTTGGGAAGGCTTCATTTCAAAGTGACAGCCACTTGTCAACACTTCAGATGATGCAGTCAAAGCAATATCCTCCCCAGCATCTCATGAGAGTGTTGACGTCATCATGTGATCTGAGCTTTCAATCTCTGAATGACAGGATTTGGACACTTTTCTCTCATTCGTTCAGAGCAGAGTGTTTCTGTGTCTTTGATCAGAGACGTTGCTGTTATTCGCAGGTGTCTGTTTTTTAAATTTGCCCTGCTAACCTACATCACCCTCATCTCTGTTCTGCTCTGTGCAGATATGTCTGGAAATTGTGCTAGTTCTTTTTATTTGGGTCTGCTTTAGCCACAGGGATTCAAAGTGGACGTTAGGGTTCAAAAGAGCTCACTCTGAATGGACCACTCAGTCAGGGGGCCGACTGGAAACCTTCAGACTTCTCTTTCTCTCAGATAAACACTGCTCTAAACTGTACATTTTAGACCAGTGGAATAAGAATGCTTTGCATTAAAATCTATATTTTCTATAAGATCTTTTTTTTTTTTGAGCAGCAAATGTAATTATTTCCTCTTTATACAGAACTGCTGGTGTGACACCATGATCTGCATTTAATCTGAAATAACGCAGCTTTTCAATCCAACATTCATTACATTTACTGGAGCTGTTTTCCAGGAATCTTTGACTGATTGAACAGGGGCGTCTACACTGTGAAAGACGCTGACTCAGTGTGTGTAATGAACTTCTTTCCACTGACAGAGAACTACTAATTATGTAATTGACTCAACAGCTAATTCAATCTGTGAGAGGAGTCCGCCGTTTCACTTACAGTATCAGAATACGGCCGCTATTTACTACAAGACTCACATTTCTGTTGCCGTGTCTGTGGTAGAATCAGGATCGTTAATCACTGAGATGTTTTCATTCTTTGTTTTTATGCTCAGGAAATACCCATTATTGATTTATGAGCTTTTTTTCCAACTCTCTCCTCTCTGTTTCCTCCACATAGCTGCCGGCCACGTCTGTCTGGCTCCTTGGAAGCTCCAGACGGTTTGTTCATCTGAGGGAAGACTGAGGGGAAGTCAAGCACACTGGGATCTGAGCCAGTGACCTAGAAGGAGAGAGAAGCGGAGTAGGAACTTGATTAAAATGGGGTAAGTTTGGAGGAACAGACAACGCTTCGCCCGCAGCTGCAGGAACTCCCAGCTGCAACAGGAAGACCTGTTTTTTAAAAACTCAATCCATGCAACACGATGCTCGCTGTTAGATAACCTCTGACACTTCCACAGGGAAGACGATCTTTGCCGATAGCAAAATACAGATACAGACTCACTGATATGGCTGCACACAAACAAACGATTCTCAGGAGGAACACGTCATCTTTCTACAGTAGAACGAACATAAATTGAGGTTCGCTTTCTGGAATAATCGATTTTTTTTAGGTCTATCATGGTACTAGGAAGAAGAATGGGCTCAGAGGAACACACAGATACAAGGTTTTGTTTTGGTTTATGATCTCCGAGTCAGTCTGTCTGCTTATTCGTTTTTTTTCTTATTTTAAATGTAGTTTTAGGAATATATTTTTTTACCAAAAGGTTTGAAATGATACCAAATAAAAAGAAAACTGGAAAACAGTTAAAACAAGAATAGCTAAATCGGTAAAAATAGGTAAATGTTAACTGTAAACGGCTAAGCGTTAGCCCAGAAAAGGCTTAATATTAGCAAAATACAGTTTGATCATTTTGTCCTGAAACAATATATATATAGTATGCATATATATGCATATATATGCATATATATTCTATATATAAAACATTATTGTGCCGTCTCCCATGTTGGTCTTTATTGTATTTTTCTTTAAATGGGATCACACTTTCTTTGTGACAAAGAATTAGCTCAAGTTAGTGATTAAGATGATGATTAAACAAATTAATGTTAATTATTTTTATTGCAGACATCTCATTCTAATGTAATTCCATCTGTAAATGTTGATTTCCGAGTCTATAGTTTTTTCATTTCCAGTTCCAGTTTCAAACCATAACAATAATTTTCCAAAACAGAGATGACCACAAACTTTTGTCTTTTAAATTAAAAAAAGAAGGACCCACGAATCGACTATTTCACTGTGAGATTTTCCCCCTGAAAGTTTTAATAATGCAGATACAGTGACACCAAATCCCATCATATAAAAGATTCATTTCCTCATTTTGAGGCTGCCCTCTTCAAGCACACAGTCATTATACTTGCTGGGACACGGTGGCAGATTTAGAGCCCTGCTTGTGGGATGAGTTATTCTTCAGTCAACTCCAATGACAGAGAGAGCAGAGAGAGCGGACCTCCACGAGCCTGTACTCTGGCAGTAATTCAAGCAGAGGAGGAGGAGTGAGGCGCGGAGAGGCACGAGTCTGCTCAGCAGCAAGTGCTTCCTGCTCACACACACACACACACACACACACATATGTTTTTGCCAATTACACCAGAATTCCACGTATCAGCAGTTTCTCTGTCTAACACAGCACACACCGACGTGTGTGTATCACTGGCAGAGCAGCAGGGGAGCCATTAGAAGGTGTACAGTCAATTCACATGATTCAAACACAGGGAAAGTGTGTTTTTTTAAGGGAAATGTTTGAAATAAAAAGCCAAACAAACAACCATTAACACATCAGCTTTCTCGTAATGATGACATAATGGACAAAAGTCATGGAGCGTGCTGCTGTTTCAGAGCTTTAATAGCTCTCCAACTTTGCTTCACTGTGACACTGCAAACATTTATTCACAGAGATAAATCACGTCTGACCTTGTTGGTGCCTTGAGTTTTCATTGAGCGCCATAATGAATTCACTTTTGTGTGTGTTTGGGGAGAGGTTGCAACAATTATTGAGTAAATTGCCAATTTTAATCTGGCACTGGTGTTTGTGTCCCTGAGGGAAATTTGTCAAAACTCCACTGATCCCTTGGCTTTCAATCACAGCAGAATTTTAATTGAATGCACTGTGGTTCATGATTGATGACCAGCAGATCTAACAAAAAAACTGTTCAAACCCATTAATGTGAAAAATAAAACATTAGGGAGACCGTAGTCATTTCTCATTTAAATACCAAAACTTACAATCATTATTTATTGTGTTCCTGAAGCCAATTAGTTCCTTTTAATAACTACATCTTAAAAAAGATCTCACAAAATATTATTATTATAAATTATTATTATTTATATTTATATCTAAGGATTTTGCATCAGAGAGCTGTGTAGAAACATATTTTTCTTTTTTTTTCACACAATATATTTTTTACTCAGACTCACACACTCACACTATGCATATTATATTTTTTATTCACAGACTCACACACTCACACTATGCATATATGCATATATCTGTTATGCACACATACAAAACTGTTTTTCATCCTATGGTAGATATGCAGCGGTGTCAGTCACAAAGGTGGTTATAATAATAATAATTGTGATAAAGATGATAAAGAGCAGTGCCCTGTGTTAATTCATACATGTAGACCTGAGGTGGCAGTGTTCCAGAAAGAGCTGCTGTGGCTGCAGCAGCACACCTGACTTGGCTCTTTTAAGCAACTGATCTGAATCTACAGACAGCTGATTGGTCAGTCACTTTGCCACCCCTGATGTAGATTAACAAAACCTGCAACCTTACTGTTAACTGGGATTCCTGTTTTATCTTCTATTTACAGCCACCTCAGTATGACCTGTTTGTCTCTCTTTGACAACACAGATATTTATGCGTGTGTTCTTGACAACTTTCTTGTCATATTTCATCTATGTTTCTGTCATAATTTCTGTTATAATTACCAAGAACTGAGTTTTAGGACTCTTTGAGCATCAAATTAATGTCCTCAGATTTTTTTATCCTTTATTAAATAAACAGCCAAGAAATGAAATTTGAGTGAAACCATCTGTGCTGATTAATAAGAGCCGCTGATTAACAACAATCACGGCTTCACTTTCCTGCAGAATGAAGATACACTCATTAAACTCTTTGAGATCTGCAGAGAAGGAGCCACCGTCTGTGCGTGCTTTGGCATTAACTTGAATCTAGAGTTGATTTGTGTTTTATTATTCAGCTCTGAAGCATCATGGACAAGCCCTCTGAGTCACCGTTTCATAATCACACTCATAATCGTGATCACGGATGCAGGGCCGAGTGCGACATAGACGTAATATAAGATAGAAGTGATCTGTGTCTGTGCTGGGTGGTCGAGGTAGCCATTTGTACTCATTACAGTGAGACACAGAGAGGAGCTACGGTACAACCAAGGACTGTCTCTCTCCCTCTCTCTCTGTAGGCTTCAGCTAATCTACAAATGTCTAATTAATCAGACAGAAAGAGCGGCGTCGCCCGCCAGCAGACAGCCCAGCAGTTATCTTCATTACTGTAACCACGGCTTACTGCTTTCTCTCAGCGTCACACTTATTTCCTCTTCCTCTGTCTCATCTTTGTCTTCTTTAACATCTCCCCCTTCATCATTTTTTTTCTCAAGCCGTCTCTCTATCTCAATCACATGTTTTAATAGCCTGACAAGCCGAGCAGTAATCCCTGTTTTATTATTCCCGCCACGGGGAAAAAAGGAAAAGAGAAGCCGGCAGGGCAAACACACAGCCGTTTAAATAGAATGGATGTAATTATTCTGGTAAAACAGACAGCGCCTGTGTGTTCCGACTGTAGCTGTGTAATGTTTCATTGTGTGTACACCAGTCTGTGTGAAGTACCAGTTGTGGGTTCAGACATTGAGTGTTTTTTAAAGCATAATCAGTTGTTGTTTGTCATTTTGTTTTAATTTTTTTTCAGTAATCCAGAAAGCAAAATTTTGTGGCCAAAGTCCATCTGGCTAATACTGGAGCTAATGCCATATGAATGAGCCCAGAGATAATTAACTATTAGCTCAGACTTTGCATAAAGCTGTCCAAAAAATGACGACGATACTGCTGTTAAAAATGAATGTTTCCTAGTACAGTGAGTCAAATACAACCAACATTTTTCATTATTCTGTGCCTGTTGATAATAGTTCATCAACACAGCTTGGTTTACGTACAGTGGTGTTGTTTTGTTTTCAGCAACAACAGTGCTACTGTCACTCATCAAACACCTGGCTTATCTTAATAACCTTGGGTCTTTGTCTCCACAGGCTGAAGATGAGAACTGCGCTCCTCACGTCTGAGTTCTTAACACTCAGCCTCCGACCACATCAGATGTAGAACCTCCACCAGCACCATGTGACTACGCCTCATCCTCTACTGAGCCTCCCCTGGCTCTTCTGCTGGCTGCACTTCTGCCTTCACCCGTGTCGTAGACATGGAGCCCTGCATTGCCAACCTCCCCCTGTCCCCTGATCCTCTGTCTTCCTTTCCTCGATACAGACCAAGTGTTTCTCAGTACCCAGGCCTTCAAGGACTGCCGTTTCCTCTCATGTCCAGGTGTAACAGCAGCACGCTGCTCACCAACCTTGGGCTGAGGTATTACTCCAGCCGACAGGGACCCCTGGGAGTGGGTCTGGGTCAGGAAATGACCTCAGGATCCTGTGGTCACACAGGAACTAATAGCAGCAGGCCTTACAGGAGTATGGAGAACCTGAACTGGAACAACGTAGCAGACTCTGGACTGTGTGCATTCAGTGCTGTCCCTTACAGGAGCATGGACAGTGAGTTTATTCTACGTTATACAGCAACTAGCCACTGGTACGATGGGCCCCCAGATGGGTCAGCGCTGGGGTCTCATGGACTGGTGCCTAACCCAGAAAGTATGGCGTTTTACCCTCGACATGGGATACCTAGGAAAGACCTATTCCCCCATTTGCTGTTTCCTACTGGAGTTGATGAACTGGATGCTAGGAAAGGTCTGAGGGAGAAACTACGTATTCAAAGTGCAAGGTCAGCTGTGGAGTCTCTGAAACCTCACCCAATGCGTCCCCAGATGACACCAGGTGCCCCATACCTTGATGGTGTGCATCAGGTCAGCTCCACAGGTTCTGGTTGTAGGCCCATGGGCCCATCACGCATCACCAATCCAGAGGAAATCAAGCAAGAAGTCCTGCGGCGTCTGAAGCTGCGCCGTCAGAACAGCAGCCCCAACCTCACTCTGAGCAGCTCCCCATCTACCCCAAAGGCAGTCAAAACCTCCACCACAACTGACAACATTGCAACCACCAGAGATGGACCAGATTCTCTATTTGAGGCCCGCAGACCACCCATGGGACGACTACATATACCTACATTTGAGGAGTTTAAGAGGATGAGGCAAAAGGAGGGGGGGCAGAAAAAAGAGGCTACAGCGGGTTCTTTAGCCTGGGGCTTTGAAAACCCCAAATCTGACTTGTTAGACGCACAACCATCAGAATGTCCCCAGATACCCCCACACTCTGATCAGACTGTCCCTCAGACTCAATACAGAGAACTGAGAAGAGAACCTGAGGAGCTAGAGGGAGACCAGAGTACAGTTGACAGGACAGACATCAGTGATGGAGGCCTGGATTTCAACATCTCCTTTGAGAAACTTCCTCCTGCAAATACTAAAAGTACCAATCCTGTCTCATCCTCCATTGCTTTGAGGTCCAGCACACTGTCTCCCATTCGTACAGGACCTTCTCCACGATTACCCCTGCAGCCACTGGGAAGTTCAAACCAGGCGAAAACTCATACCGCAGAAGGGGACGATGTAAGCAAAAGGCGTAGGAGGAGCAGTCTGGAAACATTTGGGTCGGTTCCGTTCACTCAGAACTTAGAACGACCGTCCAGCTGCTGCCCTGCGCTTCTGCTGGAGGGGACGGATCTGTCCCGCTATGGAGCCAAGATTTATAAGATGAAGGATGGCCTGATTGGGTCTGCATTGGACCTCATCAAGAAGAGGTCAGTGGGGATGGGGGGATGAGAGAGAAGGGGGGTGAGGCTTAATAACTTAAAAAACAGGCTTAAAAAACACTTCAAACAAGTTCAAACTGTTGTGAAGAGCAGAGAAGAAGAAGTCACCCAATCTCTAGGTTTCTCCAGACACTAAAGATCTAGAAAAGGAAAATTTTTTCTCCTGCAACTTTGACCAAAGCCGTTTATGTCAGAATCACAGTTGTAACCTACTCTGGTTGCTGTTAAAACCCTGTGCTTTTATAGTCATTTTACAGTGTTGTTTACCACACACAGTGGTCTCTGTAAGACTGTTTCCGTCCCCTGAGGTTGTCTTTGTGGTTCAACACATTGTTACCGCCTTGTTGTACCTAAAATGAGACCCAGCTGAGATCTCTGAGATCTGGAAAAATATTTATAGTAACTGTTAGTTTTGCTGATGCTGTTAGTGAAAGCTCGTACACATACTTTAAAACCTTAGTTAGGAGGTGTGATTACAAGTGCACTTGCTTGTTCCTGCTTTGTGTCTGTGTTTGCGTGTGGACGTGTGAGTCCATCTGCTAACGCTCGTCCGTGTTATGGATTTATCTGTGCTCTGTTGATAACAGCTGTCTGAGTTAACAGGGTTGGCGCTTTGCAGGCGGTGCTGTGGGCAGGAGGCTGGTATTAAGCGTGACAGACTGGAAGTCTAGTGACGTCCCCGCGGACTCAACATTTCTTGGCAGACCTCTATTCTGTGGCGGCTTTCGGCCAAATAAACACAGACCTCCCTCAATTGAAGGAATAACCATGGAGTATTTCTGAAGTTTAGGTTCCGTGGTTGTGAGGAAGAAATATTATAGCAGCACTGAGTTATTGTATACATCACCAAATAGGCTACACGTGGCTTTAGTAATTTGAGTATTTAGATATTGAAGATATAAAATACTAAAGGAGAAGTACACATTATAAAGTAATTGACAGACGGGCAAATACTGCGTCGACACTGCAATATTTTAATCAATGCTCCATCACTTACACTGGTTTCCGGAGATATTGAGCCTCTGCTTATTACTCCTCATGAATCATCTGAGGCCTGACAGCCAATGCTGGGGAGGAGCAGCTTTTAATGACTGACTATCCAACTGGAAACTGATGGAACACTGTAAAACCAAACCCTTGAAACTGTAGTAATTGCTGCACACCAGCCTTCTTATTGCACCAACACAAGTTTAATCTATAGGTTAACACTTGTTCTTGCTCTTTTGGTTTTCTTCATTGGCTGTACTAATGTAAGACGAACACAAAGGTGACATGAAACGGCTGTTAATATGAAATTAGTAGCATTAGGGAAATACTGATAATGTTGATTATGTAACTGCAAACAGCCCAGAACTATGAAAAATATGAGATGCCACACAAAGTCAAAATTTGCTGGATAACAAATTTCAAAGTCATAGCACTTGGAATCATTTTAGCTCCTTAGAGTGACTGCTGGTATTTTGTAGTGATGCTGCCCTCTGCCTGTCATGTCTCTTTTTTTCATTTTTAGTGTGACGTAGATGTTCCTTTATAGAAATTATAACCAGACAGTAGATGGCAGTAGTTGAAGCTTCCAATAGTGTGCATTTCAAGAAGTGGGAATAAGGAAAGCAGGCTGTCGGATTTATGATGTGAAAGTAGCACGGTGTGATAAGGGATTATACATTATAGAGTCCCTTTTCAGAGAGCGATAGCTGTTACCACTCTCACCTAATTCCTGTTTACTGTATGGCTGTAGTAAAATATCACAGGTTTAGGTGCAGCTGTTGCTGTTTTCTCAGGAGTTTGGATGTGGACTGAATAATCCTCTTCTGTTTATGAGATTTTCCAAGGATTAAAAGGAAACATTCACAGACCAGGAGTACATATTTCACTCATGTTCCTAAAATAACAGCAGCCTTCTGCTAGTACCTGAGAAAATTATCTGCTGCGTCTTTAATCCAAAAAACCTCCCAAACTGTGTTATGATAATTTTCCCCGTGATAAAATACTTCATGACATAACAGTTTTGTACTCGTGGCTTTTGGACCATGAAGCTCACTCGTGTTTGAAAAGGAAAATCAATACTGAATATGAAGTCAGTACTTTGCTGTTGATGGTGTGTGTTTGTTACACAGCCTGACCTGTCGCTGCGACCACACTTTTTTTTTAGTTGCCTCCTTTAGGTTTTTTTAATATTTTGGTTTGATGACTTTTATTTTAGCTAATGTGTTTAAGTGGTTGCTTTAAAAAAATAGCTCTAATTTTGCAGAGTGAACCTTTAACAGTAACTTTTTTTTATAGTAAATCTGATCTATTTGATTTCATCTTTAGACTAAACTTTGTTGGGTAAAAGGTGTTGCTTGTTGTGTTGCTCCATTTGTGTTGTTCATCTGCCCTCAAGTGGTGAGAGGGAATTATGGACTATGTGGACCTTCACCTGGTAACGGCTTCTTTGTCCAAGTCTCTCGGTCAGAGAAAGTCCAAATTCTAAAATAATAATAATAATAATATTCTAAAATAAAAAAAATCCAAATAAAAGTGAGAAAAAGTCAGAAAACTGTCTCTAATCTTTTTCTGTTGGTGTAAATGTCCAGCAGTGTGTGGACTTACTGCCCTCCCTGGTGAGTGGGTCAAGGGTGAGTGAGTGATATTGATTTGTGTGTTGCTTTGAGATTGTAGGGTGATGATGATGGAAGAGACTTAGGTTTGTGAGGTGAGGAGAGACAAGAAGAGTGACGTGAGAGCTTTAAAGAGAAGTGAACTTTTGTTCCTGTGACTTTACCTTTTCTTCTTCCTGTTTCTCATCTTTTCTGTCTTTTCTTTTCCTTCTTCATTCCATTATTTTTTTCCATCCGTTTCCATTTCCTCCTTTCTGCACTTCCTCTCTCCTCCACCAGCTGCAGTGCAGAGATTTCTGCTGAGACCCCCGTCAGGCTGTCAGGTGACCAGCATGGAGGCTGTGACATCACCGCCGCCCCATCAGTCCCTAGCTTTCAGCCCTCTGCCGTTGCCATGGCAACGTCGGCAACGGCCTGCAGACCTGAGACTGGAGACGAGCCGCCTGCAGGAGGAGCAGGAACAGGAGGAGAAGGAAGGAGAGAGGAAGCAGGAGAATGCGTAAGGATTTTCTTTTTTTTTTAAATCATTTCTTTTATTTCATTTCTACTATTTCATCGCCTTGTCTGCTTCTGTTACGGCTTTTTGACGCTGTTTTTTTGCTTCAATTTATTTGTCTTCAAGGATGACGGGTGAGCAAGGGTACTGCGACACACACATTCACACATGCACATGACACACTGACACAAACATACTGATGCAGAGGTATTTACTGGAAGGAGAAGGAGCAGGAGACACTGTGTTTTCACAGCGTCAGCTCGATGTTTGAGGCTGCAGTGGGTAAAGGATTAAACCTCTGTTCCAGCTGAAGACTCATGATAACTCAGCGCACCATTCCTGCATCTGCTGCACTGACAGCAGCCGTAGCTGCAACTCATATCCTGCTCCTCTCTCTGCACCTAAAAACGGAAGACTGACATGGGATCTCATCCTGCTGGCAGGCTGTTGGGAGTTAAATGAACAGATGTGGAGCTGCGTTGGATTTTTTTGCGGTGGATCCCGACTGTTTGATAATTCCGCTGAGCATGAATTATTCTTCTCTGATTGCTGCAAGCTGCGCTTCATCTTCTGCTGTAGAACAATAAAAAATACTCCCGTGCCTCTCGGTAGGGTGTAGCTGTTTGTTGTCCCAGAGCCGTCGACATACGTACACATAGGTGAAAAGGTTAACGTCAGAGATTCATGTATCGTCTGTGGGACTTCATTGTTTTGAGCATCATGGATGGATTTTAGACAATCATGTGTCCATGAAAATTCTGCCATGTCTTGCTTCACCTCAGAAAATAAAAACCCTGGAGATTCTTTGAATTGAGACTCGGAGGAGGTTCGTTATCTTCAAGGCTGAATGATTTCAAAAACAATCTCTGGCTGCACAGATCTGCTTTGTTTAGACGGTGAAAGGATGTTAGAATTTGGCCTACAGACCAGTCCTGGTTGTGGAACTTTTTTTTTTCTTTCGTCTTTATCAAAAATACATTTTATACCAAGGTGTAAAGATAACTTACTGGCTGTTGTTGCTAATAATATATACTGTATGTTTCAGGGGCCTTTTTTAATATGTCAGGGCAATTGTGGCTAACTTTTAGCTGTAGGCCAAATATGTTCTCTGCATTTGTTTGTTTTTTTATTTTCTTCGCCAGCTCTATCTGTTAGTTACTATTGGCTACTGCATCGATGTTTTTAGCCATTAGTTAGTCATCTTTGGTTCATTTTGCTACTGCAAGTCAACTCTTTGTATTTGTTGTTGTTGTTTTTTCTTTCTTTCTTCAGGTTTTATTCTTTTTTGTTCATCTTATGTAACATTGACAGCCTGAGTGACATGTGTGTCCTTCTTCATAACAGCACAGCAGTGTGGGCTGCAGGCGATCCAGCTCGGACGCAGCCTATGAACGTGCTGAGACGGTTAGGGCGCAGCGCGAGTGCCGCCTCAGGCCCCACTACAGCGACCCCATGCCAGCAGATGCCTCCAAACGCAAACAGCTGGAGATGAAGATCGCTGCCGCCGCCCGGGTTCATAGTCATCGACGAGATCGTGACAGAGACAGTGGTAAGAATATTTTATAATCTGTTTAAAACATTTTAATGCAGATATTTTTCTTCATCGACGTGACTGAAGTAGGCTTATGGAAAGCCCATCTGGGTCGCATGTGATACGTGTAGACAAGTTGATGGGTCCAATGACTTAATTTTTAAATGCACAGTCCACATGCTAATGTGAACTTTCACTCTCTCCAGCAGAGCAATGTTGATTGTGTAAGTTTAACCTACTGTCTGTTTGTATATTGTATTGCTAATGTGAACTTTCTCTCTTTCCAGCAGAGCAATGTTGATTGATTAAGTTAAACCTACTGTCTGTTTGTAAATTGAAATTCTTCAGCTCCTGCAGCCCTCCGTGGTCGATCTGAGCCCCCCGGTGAGGAGCGTCAGGCAGGTCTGGCTGTGACACGGTCAGGCCAACATCGTTGGAGCACCATCAGCAGCCTGAGCGCTGACAGCGGTGTGGTGGGTCTCAGTGATGAGCGGGAGGAGGAGGACAGCGAGCCTCGCCGTCATCGCCGGAGCAGAGGTGCTGAGGTGGAAAGGGTGGACAGCGGTATCGGTCCAGGACTCTCCCGCACCTGGAAGAGACCGTCGGCCTTGCTGAGAGCCTGGGAGTCACAGAGACCCTGTCCGGACTGTGGACTGAGGGACGGGCTCTCCAGAGAGCGTGGAGAACGCATGTGTGAACGCTGCACCAAACTACGCACTGAACGTAAAGAAGCCATCCTGGAGTTCCTGAACACGGAGTCGAGTTATGGCGAGGACCTGAGGATCATCAAGGAGGAGTTCTACTGCCCCATGCAGAGTGCTGGGCTGCTGACAGCTGAGCAGCTCACGGTGGTGTTCGGTAACGTTCAGGAGTTGATAGATGTCAACGACCGCTTCACTGAACACCTCCAGGACAGCATCGACCAGGCCTTTGACCAGGTGAAACACATACACCACCTCTTATCTGATCCTGTCCTGTAAGAGTGAAGAGTGAGGGCTTTTGCTGAATCATTTGCTGAATATTGGCCTGACCTCTTTCTCTAATGTGGCCTGACCTTAGGGAGATGACGATCTTCTGACCGTCTACATTGGAGAGATCTTCTTGGAGTTTGTCAACATGCTGCCTGCCTTCCAGACCTACTGTCTTCAACAGTCCACCTCTGTCAACATGCTCAACACCCTGGAGAAAGAGAAAGAACTGCTCAGGTACAAACACAGACCGTGGCTCCAAACGTTTGTGTGATTCAAAAAGTTTACCTTGGAGTCTCTTTGACTTCCTGCCACAGCTGTGCTGGTCTGTTCTGTGTAACTGTTAATGGAATCATTATGGGATCATCACTAATTCAGAAGAAGTTCTAATTTAGGAAGAATTGAACAGCAGTGAATCATAGTGTGAACAGAACTAGAGCTGGACCAGAAGTCAGGGTTTCTGTGAATCCTATTAGTCAATGAATCAACTGATGTCTCTGCACATTAAATAATTCAATTTGAGTTATTGAGGCGCTTCAATTTCATTGTCTGAAATTGTCTCAGTTGTAGAGAAAGTGCTTTGATAAACACAAATAGCAGGAAACATGACAAGAACTTCCTAGTTGTAACTACAAACCTAGCCAAAAAGGATGAAAGTTATTCTAAAACATAGCTAAGATGTTGAAAACTGCTGACTCTGGATTAACCTGAAAGGAGGAAAGAAATAGCCAAAAATACTGCAAGAATGAGTTTGTGGTCTGTTTTGCTTCCTTGTCAATATTTTTTTTTCTTATTGCTTTTAGAATCTTCCTAGATGTTTCCCAGAATGACAACACAGCGTTGCGTCGTATGAACCTCCGCTCCTTCCTCATGGCCCCCCTACAACGTGTGACCAAATACCCACTGTTATTGAGCCGGATCATCAAGGTCACTCCTGAATGTCACCCTGACTACGCTCGTCTCCGTGAGGCCAAGAGTCGAGTGGAGTCCCACCTGGAGCACATCAACATGAAGACCAAGCAGGAGGGCAACGGTGTCTCCTGGTCCCTGCGCTCCTTCCGCCGTGACAGTCGCAAGAATCGGGAGGTGATCAACATCGAGATGAGAGAGCTGTCGATGAAGACCGTGGGCTGGGCCAGAGAAAACACCCGCTTTGTGATGGAAGGGCCTCTCCAGTTGTCCCAACCAGCAGATGGTCAGTGGGTGAAGAAGGGAAGCAAGGCCCTGAAGTTCCAGAATGTCCAAAGTCTCCTGATGGTGAAGACACAGAGGCTGGGAGAAGCTTCAGGTCAGGGCACCGATGTTGGAGCAAGGTTAGATCAGAGTGAAGGTGGTGGAGAGAACATTAGAGATGGAGTCCTGATACTCATCAAGGACAAAAGCAGTGGAAAGTTCACAGTCCTGAGAGAACCCATCCGCCTGGGGAACTGCGTGGTGTCAGCGGATCCTGATTGCGAGGACACGTTTGAGGTGCTGGACATCAGACGGGAGTCATTTGTATTTCGTGCCTCAGACAAACCTCGCACTCAGCAGTGGTTCCACCAGATTAAGAGGTACGCTCGAGACCTGGGTGCCTGGAGGAAAAGACGCAACGCCTTGCCCAACATCATGATCAACACGAACCAGAACCGTTCCTGAGACCAATCCAGTCAACCTTCACCTTTGTTACACTGTACATAACCTGAATCCTGACTTTTCTGACCAACAACACTGATGGAACCTCTCAGCTCCTGCGATGGTCAGAAGAAGAATTACAGCACTTTTTTTTCTAAGAAGCTTCAAGTGCATCCCACTGTCATTTAAAGCCCTCAGATCCTTGGACGACCAAAACCCCCTGGGCTGAGCTGGTCAGCCTTGATTGTAAAGACTGTTTGCCCTTGGGTTAAAAAAAAAAGAGCCGTGTTTTCACTTAATGAAGTGTGTCTGTTGAACCAGAGACATGACTGAACTTGACTGACTGTAAGACGAAAATAATTGTTATGTCCTTTTTATACAAAACAGCACAGAGAGGGAAATGTTAGTGTCAGTGTGTAGTGGTGCAGTTGTGGTTCACGGCGTTTTCACAGTCATTTTCATAGAACGTTTATAAGAAATGTCCACAGTCGTTTGTAGTGAAGTTGTTGAACCAAACCTGGAGTGACTTTTTTGTCTGAGAAGTAACGTCTTGTGTATAGAAATATATGGGAAATGTTTCTCCCTTGAAGATATGGGACAAGGTTAATGACCCACTTTTAATTGGCATAGGTGTGAATTTAAGTGTGAAAAGTTGTTTGTCTCTATATGTAGCCCTGAGACAAACTTCATGGACTTCTATTCATAAGTTGTTACTTCTTTAACAATCATGATTTTCCCTTTACCACAACAGAGCCCTGCCCATTTCTTATAAACAATCTATTATTGTTTCCGTTTGTTGTCCAGCTCTCTCTCCTCCAGCTGCTGCCCTCTACTGTGTGGGGGTGGCAGAGTAACTCTCACTGCCAGAGACGCAGAAGCCACACTGAGCAGATGTCCTGTATTACTGTGGTTTAATAATGAAAACTCACATTAACAGCAATAATATCTGCCAGTTTTGAAGCAAGTAGCTTTTGTGTTGTATATTTAAACTCTCAGTCCTCAGTTTTAATTTATATGTCCAGAATGGGCCCTCTACAGTATGTGATAGATTTTACTCAAGTCTAAAATATACTTTCCAGTTTTGGAGGAGGGTTTTGCACCATTAAAACATCCCCTCCTCGTCCTAGCACTGAGAACTATTTGTTAAAGCAGCTGGGCTAAGGTCTGTTTGATCTGCTTTGTGTCCACACGATATCAGTCACACACCACTATTTTTGTCACTGTTTTAAGTGCAGAATTGTTACATACATTTGACTTCAAGGACAAGTATATATTTAGTTTTGTTTTTTTAAAATATATTTATGCTCATTATAAAGGTGTCCAGTTCAGCCAAATCATTTAACCCAGAGTTGTTCATTTCAAACATATAACAGAGTAATAGCTTTACCCAGGTATGTCCAAATGTTGGCTCAGAGGCTTATTTGGTGCAGTGTTTATGTGGATAATGACTTCTTAACTGGAATTTATGTTTTGTGTAGTTAATATTTACACTAAACTTAGTTATTCCCCCTTTTTTTGCCAACTTTAACCTGTTTGCTTCATGCTTTTGCTGGCCTTTAACATGTTTCTTGGCAGATGCTAATCATTTCTGCCCCATTTTCAGCTCAGTTTTGAAGCAAGTCTTTCATGTTGTAAACCTAAGATGTAACATTTGGTATTAATTTTAAAATGACTAACAGAGACTGACATGTTTAATAGAAACAGTATTACAGGAAGCAGTTCACTTTGGACACCTAGCTAAAAAGTGTTTTAATTGTCAAAACTTGTGAGCTTGTCAATTACTTTATCGAGTACTGATTTGAAAAAACAGTTGACACCTCGGTTATAGCATTTTGGGTTAAAAGGCAAACAAGTCACAGTCCTCTTGTCGTAACATCGTTTTATTTTGTAACTTCGGCAATGAGCTGTTGTGCGTTAGTTTCTGATGTGACTGAAACGTGTAACACAAACTAGACTGCCCTCTGCTGGCACATGATGGCGAAGAACGAGAAAGTCGATATGAAGATGACTCCGAGAGTCCTCAGTTTCTGTCCCGTTCTCTCTATTATTGAAGTGTTTTTACTTCTTCTCTTGGTGTGTTTATTTATGACAGCTTTATTTTTGGTTTAAAGCACTTTATTGTGATTCATAGTAATACAACATTTTCGCAGTAATGCAGCAGCTGGGAAAATACAGTTTTGTTTTTCCAAACAGCGGAGTCAAATGAAGCTTCATCAAACCAAACCGTGTGTAGAACCATTTCTTTGTGTGGCGACGGCAGCACAGGAAGTAGCAATTCACTGTTTTAAAGGTAACAGAGTCGACACTGGTTATTGTTTTAATAACGACTGAATTACACACTGTTACAGATTTTGCTCTTTCGCATTTGAAAGGCACAATGTATTATTTCCCTCGGTGAATTCTATTAAAAGATTTTCAACATTGTCGTGCATAACGTTTTTTTTTTAATGATAGACATTGTTAAACAGTATAAGTTGACATTTCTAAATATTTCTGTTTTGTTTTTTAGACATTGGTCGTGACGTGATTTATTTCCTGTCCAGGGTGATGCTAAACACATTCGAAGAAACTGTGGTTTGGACACGTCCACATTTTGTTTCCCTCACAAGGTAATGTAAAAAATAATTTTAATGAAAGTGTGTTTGTGATAATTATTGTTATGAAATATGCAGTCGTTTTTAAGCATTTAAATAACTTCAGTTTATTCCCAAAGGTCTTGGCAGCTCAGTGTCAGACTTTTTGGGAAAAACTGAGCTAAAAGAAGACATATGCACACTACTGACTATACAGAGAAACAATACATGAGGCAGGGCAGAGTCAACATTTCTGCAAATACAAGCTGTACAACATAAAACTACCGCAATGTAGCTTTAATTTTTAAAAGGAAACTTCTTGGACAACAAACAACCCACAAGACCCTGAAAAATACTCTAATGACTAATTAATAACAGACTAACCAATAACAGAGTAGCTCAGCATCAACTAATGACTGACTTAGACTTATCTGGAAAACAGAGCAAAACAAACAAACAAAAAAAAAATCATATTTTCTTTTTATTAATTTTATTTGAAAATCAACTCCAAGTCTCTGCACAGCAGTATTGACCTTCTGTTTTGTCCTGTGGAACGAATCAAACTCCTTTAGTACAATTCAACAAAAGGAAATAGACTGTTGCAAAATAAGCAGCAGCTGGAAAATCACAGGGGAAAATAACAGTTGCATCAGATGAAGCTGAAATGACACATTTTCCAAAAATCCACCAAACCTCCATTTTCAAACCTCTGAATGATGCGTTTGATCTCAAACCTTTTCTTCCTCAAAGACTTCAGTTCTTTTAAACCACCTCACATGCAGACATTTGCACAAACACTCACACAGCTCATCTTCATCCCCCAGTCAAACCTCAGTCAGGTTCCTGGGTCTCCACATCCTGGGTGGGTTAAGGTCCCTCTCCGTCTCCCACAGCTGCTTCCACGTCTACTTGCTCCCTACAGACTCCGCCTCCTTGGCCAGGCCTCTGATGGACAGGTCATAAACCACCTCCTCGATTTTCTTCACGTCGTACTTCAGACCATCGTATCGCTTTCGCAGAGAGTCATTCTTGAGGTTGAGTAGGCGGAAGCCCGAATCCAGCTCGTTGATGAAGTTGGAGATGCGGAGTGGGCGGTCGTAGTCTCCAGCGGTGACACTGTTGACGGCCAGTCGTGACTGCAAGTACAAAGTCAGAGCTACTATATACTTGCAGAAGTTAAATAACTGATATCAGTAAAAACACAGGTAGAAATTAATATAGAATTAAGCTCAGATTAGATCTGACTGTGGGCTAGAGACCAGTCAGGTTTGGGCCACTGTGGGTTTGTTCTGGTCTGTTTTGGGGATTTGAAGCTTGAAAAAAAAATCAACACTTTACGCACCAGTTCACTGGCCATGATCAGGACTCCTGCCAGGTAATCTTCTATATCCATGTGAAAGCCTTTCTCTCGCACCACCTCAACTGAACAGAGACAGAACAGGCAGAGTCGGTTCACATTCCTTAGTAGCAGGTAGAACCAAAATCACACTAACTTCTACCTACTGCCCAGAATCTTAGCCACATCCTCCCGCGTCACCAGAGCTTCAGTCTCCAGGTAAACCACAAAGGCAGCTAAGAAAACAAGACGCTGCAGGACAAACCGCCAGTGTTCATGAAACCTTAGGTGAGATAAGAGAGATTAGAGAAAAGGCAGATAAAAACACTTTTATCCACAAAGCACCTAGGCCCACTCTACTGGAACTGACAACAGGAATAAAAAACGGATTCATCAGACCAGGCTTTAAAAGTGGAGAAATGAAAAACTAAATGTAAAAAAATATATATGTTCAAGAGGATGAAAGAAAAAAAAAACGAGTCACAGATTTTACTGAGAAGCTGTGAAGATTAACTAGGTTTCTGACAGACCTGTAATACTGCTCTGAGGGGAATTTGGTTTTTAGGTCAGCGATCTGTGCCCTGACCTTGCAGAACAGATCACGTGATCGTACACATTTACTGGGAACTAAGGAGAGAGAGAGAGAAAATGTGGGAAATTAGTCAAATGAGAGAGAAATTAAGAGGGAATTTCACAAGAAACCTTTCACACTGCTCAAACCCTTACTTTCTTTGAAGCCTGATGGTTGGTGGACGCTCTGGAGCACAGTCAGGATTTCTCTGGCCGTCTGCTCCAGCGTTTGAACCACTTTACGGATATCCTGTAAAAGAAAAAAAAAGTTGTTTCTCACAGTTCGCCTGAGTGGCGCTGTAGGGATGGTTGAAAAGACATTAAGGTGCCCACTAATTGGTTCAGGTGTGGCGAACAAGAAGTCTTTGGTTTTCGAACGGCATATTTTTGAGTCGTTAGTTCGACCTTTGCGTTTTTGGTTGATAACATTATTAACCGGTAAGCACATCCACACTAATTATTACACAATTATCGTTTAACGTAACTCAAGCAACAACATTACGCAGAAAGCCGCGGGTGCATAACTAAGCAAATGTACGTCAACAAACAGTGACAACTAAAGAGTAAATATATAATTTTAACAATATTTAGATGAGTTGCATACTGTGATCTATTTTTTAAATTTAGTGCTCGACCAAATTTAGTGCTGTTTTGTTTTCGCGATTCGGGTTGTGGTTAGCAATTAGCCTGAGCTCTCTGATATTACTCTATCATTTATACCTCTCTGATTTCTTGGTCCACGTCCAGAAAGCCCTGGATGTAACCGAACATCTCTGTGACGGACATTTCTCTTCAGTCAAATTAATGAAAACACTGATGATCTTTGAAAACTGTGCACCGCTGTTGGATCACAAAACAATCAACGTGCAGTAGACTGATGATGTCGCTGTTGCCGTCGCATAATAATGACGTCACTGACACGGCGTTCTGAATTCTGTCATAGAATCTCAGAAATAATATACAGAGATATGTATATATACGGGTTTTCATAGTATTTGTATTTTCAAAACAAAAAATATAATTATTCTAAAAACAAAGGGCTGAATGTCAACATTTTGTTGTACAGTCATACAGTCACAACTGTTTTATTTCAATTCTTAATTCATATTTTATGAAATGAAAAATCTAAATTTTAAGATTAGATTTAAATTTTAAACATAGTTTTCTGATACTTAAGTCAGAATACATTTTGTATCAGAATTATGAGACATGTCTTTCAAAATTGATCTAAAAATCTAAATCTGCTGTATATATAGTCAGAATTCTAAATAACTAAATTAGCATGAATTGTGGAACTTAAATAGTACTGCTAGTTAGTAAATGTAAAAATGTATATTTTTTTAGAGGGAAAGTAGAAATATTATTTTGCCCTTAGACCGAATTATGATAGAATCATATATGATAAAGACGAAGATCAAACATAGGTCCACGTAGTCCTCAAACGTGAACGCTTTCATTTCTGAACAGGAAAACAGTGTTTGACCTTTTATTTTTTCCTCTACGTGTTGCAGTACCAGCAGTTGGCCTCTTGGTAGAGCCAAAGAACTCTACATCATCTTCAGGAACTCAAATACGGAACTATCTCAATTTCACATAGAAAGGCAAATGTTTTCGTTTAGACATTTCTTATTTTGAATGGTAATTGTTGTGTAAATTAATGATCCAAGGAAAAGGGTCAGAAATAAACTAAAAAAAAAAAACTTTTTGTAATGGTCTGATTTCCCACGACTCGTAAAGGCATCACCTCACAACGCACAGGAACAACAGTGCAGAGTCAGAGTCTCCTGTTGCTCAAACTAGCTCTTCAGTGAAGAGTCTTCAATCAGCGCAGTCTCTGTAGGACACAGGGTAATTCTGTGCTCAGCACGACACCCTGAAAGCACGCAGTTTTTATCCGTTGCATCAGGGTTTTTTTATTCTTTATTTTTAGCATGCTGAGACCATGCAGCTGAGTTCTGCCGAGTAAGAAGAACAGAGATGGAGAAAACATCAGCAGAAGATGACTGCGTGGATTCAGGAGCAGAGACCGGAGGGTGAGTTGAACAGTCAAGTATTTTTTAGATGTTTATTGTAGTGAAAGCTACACTACTATTGTTAATAATTCAGCTAACGTTTGTTTACTTTGGCTAAAATTAGTCCTTTCTGTGGTGCATTTAGGATGTTAGTGGTGTTGTTATTTTTGGCACTTTGGTGATCTTTTTTGAACGTTTGCTATTTGTAGGCTCAACTGAAGTTGTGATTAAATTATAACATTTCATATTGTTAACTACTTAAGTTTCTTTTTTTTGTTTTTTGTTTTTTTGGAAAACCTTACAATATTCTGGGGGTAAATATTTAGCTTTATCTTTTAAATACTTGGCTATTTTGACTTTGTTTCAGCTTTAGGTATTTGATATCACATATCATTAGTGAGTTTAACTAAATCATAATCTACAGTAATTAACATGGCCTTGATTGATTGATTGATAACACAGGATTTAACTGCAGGCAGTGCAGACTAACATCATGTTCATGTGTCTGATACATTGACACTGTTTAGTGTAATAAATTGTTGTGTTGTTTACTTTGTTCACATTTCTGACACTGTCCTGTTGTAAACACACTGCTATTGATGTGGTTTCATATGTGTGTGTTGTGACCCTGAACCACTTGTAAGACAGCAGAGATGAAACGTGTTGACATCATACAGTATATATAGTTGTTTACAGAGAAAGTTCAACCGATTGCTCATGTATAATTTTAGATCATGGGTTAAGAGTCTGTAATCTTCTTCTTCAAATTGTCTTCGGTGGTGATAGTCTGTAGTGAAAGTCTTCTCTGGTGACATTGACCTCTGTATTGAAAACATTGATGTTTTGAAATACAATTATGTTGATTAATTATGGTGAATCTATCTTACTTTTCATTCACTTTACACCAAAATGACCAACAGCGACTGTTACCCTGCCCATGCACTCAACTCTCCAAATGTCATTACTTTGTACCAGCACCAAACACTGCCAAATGGAACCTTGGAACACTGGCAGCTTTTAGATGGCAGATATTATCCTAGCAGTTAAGTGAGAACAAAGTGCTAAAGCAGACATAATACTGGATTTACAGTAACTATATACAGGTTGGTCTATATCTTCAGGATCTAGGTTTGGCAGTTGTTCTTTTAAGCCTTGGTTTTAATAGCTCCCTGTCCTTGCTGGCCAAGAAAAACTATTTCAGAGCAGCAGTCACACACGGAGAACCTTCAACTCCTGTTCACCTCCGCTCTGTTCGAGCAGTGGAGCGAATCAAACACTGAACCTTTTTTTTTTTGGTTGTGGCAACGTAGACCTACAGTATAGTGTCACATGGAGTTCAGCTTTGGTCACCTCTGACCTCTGACATCACTGCTGTAGCTAACATCAGTAAGGTCTATGTGTGTGGCTGTCATTGGCTCAGGCAGCCAAGATAATTTACTGTTGACACGGGCTGTGTGAAATCAGCCAATACTTTGATGAAAAACTGCCTGTCCAGGAACCACAACCTTAGACAAAAAACCACACAGACCACACAACAGACTTTCCTCTGGTGTCACAGCCAGAAAATGTAAATAAAAATGAACATATTTTCTGTGGGTCTGTGGGTCTGAGGCAAAGGAAGCACTGGTCACCAGTGATGCTGCCCTCTGTCTGTATTTTCTTGTTTTTCATTTATTGCACAAGTGTCTGGGATGGATTGTTTATCCATTAGGGGGCAGTAATGCAACTGAAGGCATGCAGTAGCAGGTTGGTGGTTTAGCAGTAGAAGCCTGACTTTGGGTGAGAATATTACAAGTAATAAATATCCATAGGAAATATGAATGTAAATAATACAATAGAGAAGAAATATAAATGTTTCCAAATGGTGGTTCATGTTTCGGGACATGAACACGGTGTCATTGAAGTGCTTTTGTCAGACTATTAGAGTTGTACATTGTTTTCATTCGTACCATCTACACAGCTGGCAGAGATTGACCACTGGTTTAGACATGTTTGTCATGTCACAGTAACTGTATAAAGTCAATCGCTCCTGCTGAGACCATTCAGTTGATTTTGACTGCTCTTTGCTGATCTGTGTCAGCAAATGTTTTGAACGTGAGCTGCTGCTGCCTGTTCTCACTGCACTCTGCCTTTATTTTCTTTGGTTGGAGATGAAACAACTGGCTGTGTGGCCCAGAGAGGAGAAGGATAAGTGAGATGCTAACCAGAAATGCTAATGGACTGCTGCCAAACACACACACACACACACACACACACACACAACCAAGAGATTTATCCCAACTGACAAGGGAGTAAACACACTAACTTCAACTCCACTCCAAAGACTCATAACTCTATAAAGCACGTTTGTCTTTTTTTCACACACTGACACATTTTCTAAATATGACCATGCTCAGGAGATAATTAGCATAAATAGAAGATAGAGACTTGAGTAAAGTGTGGTGGAATCCTCCACACAGAAAGACCACTGGTGAGACCAGTGACGGAAAAACACTGTATTTCAAACGTCCATTTCTCTTCAGACAAACACAGTGTTCCCAGTGATTCCTTAAATATTCTGCGTTTACATCAGGAATACCTGCCAATGGCAACATATCTTTTTCTCTTTTTTTTGCTTTTTACTTGGCTCTGCTCTCATCTGTCTCCTCTCACATTGTTGTCACCCTCCAGCCTCATCCATCTCCCTCCACTGCCTTTAACTGAGACTGAGAACCTCCTGCTGCAGGAAACGCACTCAGGACTCTGTTTCCCACCGTCATGCAGCTACAGAGGCATTATTAGTTTAGAGACAGAGTCACAGCAAGAAACCTGTATGTGTGTGTGTGCATGTGTGTGTGTGTGTGTCAGCCAACTCCTGTGGGACTAACAGTCTCAGATTGTGCTCTCTGTGAGCTGAGGTTTCACAGATGCTCTCAGGGAGTTTGAGTGGATGGACGTTCTTTGCATCAATCAGTCTCATTGTATGTGGACACACGTGTCTCTTACGTGCAGCGTGGAGGAAGATCAGATTAGCTGAAATCTAATTCTGGGTCTGTCCCTTTTCAAAGATGTGAGCTTTGGACTGGAGCGTTTTAAATGAGAATTGATGTCCTACTGCGTGTGTGTGTGTGTGTCTGTTCCCAGGAAGAGATGAAATTAGATATTTCACTTTAAGAAAAATGTTGAGATTCAGCTTAAAACAAAAACACTCATTTCTGTGGTGGAGCTCTAACATAAATTTCAGATAAAAGAAAGTCTCAGCCTTTGACATCAAGTAGGATTGTTTATAACGTAGACTTTTTTTGTGATGTTCTTTTCCTCCTGGCTGTTTTCGCCAGTGCCGTAGGAAAAGCATGTAATTTAACATAAACCCACAACCATTGGGTGCATTTCTTTGATGTATGCATTTAATGTTTTTTCACTGTATTTGAATTAGTAGTACAAGGTACAGGAAGTACCTGCCTTCATTTTCTTTTTAAAAACAAAGACCTGCCTTCATTTTCTTTTTAAAAACATTAGTAGGTGGTGTTAAAATACATACTTGTAATACATACAAGATGCAGTTTGGTATTGTTTTATGTATAGAACATAAAATATGAATATTTATCATATATTGAGAGATAGTAGATCTCTCATTATTTGATTCTTGGCTCAGACTCGTACTGAGTTCACAAACATCATGTTATTGTGTTTGGACATGTTGGGAAACTCCTGGGAAATATTTTGAGAGTGGAATTTTTTTTTCTCAACCCTTGTTTTTCACTTATGTCATTTCATTATTAAAACAATTCTGCTGGTGCACTGGAACAAGGAGGGCATCGTATGTGGTTCAGATAAGAATCAACCAATGACTTTTGTGCCTGTGGTTTATTTTATTACCATGCAGCTGTGGAGAAAGAAAAATCACTATGAAGCACAGCTGTCAAACACATGTCAAGAAGTGGACAAGTGCTCAGTCCACTGATGGAGGGTGTAACAAGTGGTGGTACATGAGTGTCTGTCCCTGCGTCATGTCCTCAGGGAAATGTCTGCATACGTTTTCCTGACCTTTGAAGTTGACCTCTGTCTCAGTGTTTATCCCCGTGTCATCACATTATCTGAAACTGGAACGTGCCGTGCTGGAAATGTCGATCCTGTTTCATCATGTAATAAAACTCTTGTCTCTCTCTCCCTCTCTCCCTCTCTCCCTTTCTCCCTCTCTCCCACACACTGAAACAGTCCTCCCCTCTTGACACTGTCCACTCTCACTCCACCTTGTCGTCTTTCACCTCTGTCTTCTTCTGCAGGTCTGATTACAGTCCGCTGTCGACCACGAGCAGTAAGTAAACTATCACACACACTGACACACAAACACAGGCTGCAGCCCAGGACTTATCTCCGTCACACACACACACACACACACACACTGAAACATAAAAGACAACAGGAGTGTGTTTTATGTCAAATGTGTTTTATGTCAGGATGTTTTTTGTCCAACAACGAGATGCTTTTATTTTTGTGTATTTTTCTAACTCCTCAGAGAAGTTGTCTTCAATCACACAAACGAACAGTTGTTGTTCTTGAAGTTACAAATAATTGAAAGAGTTTTTGCAAATCCTGTGAGACACAGGTATCAAACACAATGTCCAAAATGGACAAAAAAACATTTTCTAAATAAGTTAAGCGTTGGCTCGCACCTTTATGTTAGCCCGAAGTTTACAGCACTTTATGGGTTCGGATTAGTTTTAGCTCCAAATACGCTCTTGATAGAACAAAACCAGGTAATAAATTGGTCTAAAATAGCTAGACATTGCTGACATCAGTGTCAAAAGAAGCTAGAAATACTTTATATTTTAACATCAAATCTAATGGTAAAAAAAAATAAGCCAAAAATTTTTTTTTTAAATATTTACTTTCAGCAAAAGTCATAAAATCAGAGTAAGGTTACGATTTATAAGTTCATTTCCTTCAGTGTAACTGACAACGCTTCATTTTCCTGTGTGTGTGTAGTGTGTGTGTGTATGTGTGTGTATGTGTGTGGGTGTGAGAGGGTGTATGTGTGTGGGTGTGAGAGGGTGTCCTGCCTGATAATGAAGAAGTGTTCTTCCTGAAGCTGTGACCTCTTTCCAGCCGGGTTGCCAGCTCTTTCACAGTTGGAAGATGATTTCCCATATTAGCCCATTAATCTGGTCTGCAGGAAACAACATTATCCTGACTGCACCACACCCGCAGAACAGGAAGCATAGGGGCCACATGGTCACACGCACAAACTCACACACACACACACACACACACACACACACACCCACGTGTGTATGCATGATTTAGTATTTTCCACTGTTTTCTGCTGTATCAGACCTGACGGTGTGTGTCACCACTGAAGGTCAGGAATGAAACAAAACATGTACTGGCCATGTTTTTGGGTAATTTGCAGATTTTTTGCCATTTCTGAGTGAACATCAACGTAGTTTTTAACTCACTGGCAAATATTTTTTAAATATTTCGAGGTTAACTTGGGTCATCTTTTTGCCTTTGAACAACCTTCAGCAATTTGGGACTATTTTTTTATTGATATTTCACTTTCTTTCCTAGTTTAGATTTTCTCCGTTGTAACATTTTGTAATTTGTTCAGTTTAACTAGAATTATTAACATAGTTTTGCCAGTTACAGAGGATATTTCTTGCCATAAAATAAATGTGGCTCTGTGGTTTTATTAGAAATGCTTTTGAGTGTGTAAGAATTTTTTTTTTTATGTAGCACATTCTAGTATTGTCCATTGTCAAATCTTGAAAATAGCCCAGACCTAAGGTCTGTTTAAATATTTGGATGACCTTTGGAATCTGCTCCTAAAAAACTCTTCTTGAGCTTCTTGATCTTTTTCTGCTGCAGCATCTGTAGTTTCTACTGTAGAGGAAAAATTTGGACTCCAAATACCTGAGACTGAGAGTATGTCAAGCCTTCATCTGTCCTCTGGGATCTTGTCGTGACTCAGTTACTGTTTCCAGGTTTCACTAGAATTCAGACTGATACCAGTTCTGAATCCAGTGTCAAACCAGACAGACAGGAAGTGAAGAGAGGCATCAGTTTATTTTTTCAATAATGATAAAAACACAAACTACTGCAGTGACAGATTTGTCGAGGATGTGAGGGAACAACATTTTTTTGTGTGTGTGTTTGTTTACGCACCTGAGTACACTAACATATAAAAAAATTCTACAACTTCTGTGACTGTGGATAAACAGGGACTTGAACCCTGAACCCTCGGACTCAACGTCTAATGCTGTACACTTTAGCACAGTAGTACCAGATGACGTAATCTAGTGTTGGGCAGCTACAAGACCAATGTTGTAAAGGTTCAGTAGATTGTTGGTTCCAAGACTGAGAGCCTGGAGTGGTGAGACGTTAATACAGCAGCAGTAAAGTCTTCGTTCTCATCCTCTCTCCATGATCTTCTGCAGCTGGTGCTTTAGCAGCGTCGTGGAATTTCAACAGGGAGTTAATAGGTTTTTTAATTCAAGCAGCTTGAATTGAGCCTCAGACTGAACACTTCATCACAACCTCACTCTCTGTGGCTCACAGCAGATGAGTGACTGCTCAGTCAGGGAGAGTCACCGAGTGCTTTATGTCATCATGGGTTTCCATCTGTGTGTGTGTGTGTGTGAAAGAGAGAGAGAGGCACAGAGGGGGTGGAGAGTGTGTGTGAGTAATTAATGGTGTTTGGAGCAGAGGGAGGAGTTTTCTCAGCGGCCACACACACCACACACATGAAAACAGGTTTTTTTTTACATTATTATATATAATGAGAGCTGATGGGAGGTCCTAAGGTCAGATAATGTCGGTTTGTTTTAGTTTCCCAGCTTCACAGTCTTCAGTCCAAATACTTTATTCTTTTATAAACACTTGGATAAAAAATCCACCACTAGAAATGAGGCCTTTTAAGTTTTTATTATTATCACAAAGTTAGGAATGTTCTATTAAAGTGAGTGAGGTGAGTGCACTGAAGCACTGAAGACCTCAGTGAGTCCATTACACTGTAGAGCTGACGACAGGACTGATGGTGGTCGACAGACATGAAGAGCCTCAGAGACACAGGTCGTCCTCAGTGGTTAGTGTTCAGATATTAGTCTGTCAACAGCAGATGTTTTCTCCCTCAAACAATGACACAGAAGTTTTGCGGGTAAGCCGACATAACACATGAAATACAGCAGCTGTGTCCAAGCTCTGGTCTGGGGACCTGTAAAGCTCCCACTTTAACGTGGTTGTTGACATGGTTTTTAAGATGTCATGTTAAAAGATACACGTAGAGCCCTGTGTTGTTACTGTGCAATCTTCCCAGTGTCTAGACTATTATCTTAGCTATCTTGTACCTTTGCTATTGTAACTGTTAAGAGTTTTGTGTTTTACCTTTATGCAATTTCTCAGGAAACTATTGACGATCAAATTGGCTAGGTTTTTTTCTATAATCTGTGCTATCTTTGAGCTATTTTGGCCTAGCCTTTTTGGTCAAAAGGTCAATAACTTGAACAGAAATTTAAATCTAATTTTCAGACTGACTTTCTGGTCAAACCAAAGTAATTTGACAACACTTTTGCTCTCTTTTATTTATGTATTTTTATGTCTTGGCTTTTTTGCCAAGCTTGTAGCCATGTCTGGCTTCATCTTACATTTTCTTCTGGCAATTTTTTTTTAAAGTAACGTTCAGTGCGTCTGTTTTGGCCATTTTTTCTTTTGCCCTAGCTTGAGCAAATTATATAACTACTTTGCATCTTTTGAGGCTAACTTAGATACTTTTACTAGTTTTTCACTAAATAAAAATAATTTTAGTTCTTATGTAAAGTGAAACGATGACTCATGTATATAGTAAAATTCATTAGTGACTTTCTGGGTTTTTAAATTATGACATTTGGTCTTCTTGAATGAATTAAGCAACAATTTACACTAACGCGTAAATTAGGCCTCAGACATTTACTGAAAGTAATTACATGGAACGTCTTTTGCGCTGGAAATATTAATGTCGTGGCACAGACCTATTTGCTCTAGTGCTAACGTTTCACTTGTCATAATACAGAACCCTTCTACAGTCTGCGCCTCAGATCATGGTAATGACTTTTGTCGTGTAGTGTTCATCATGTCAGAGGTAAGATGTAAAGTCTGAACCACAAACTCCAACCCCGGTCTGGTCCAGACAGGCCCGTTCAGTCCAGTAATGCCTGAGGCTTCGCTCTTGTTATTTCAGCTCAGAGCTGCAGTGTTTTACTGAGAACCTGTGTATTTTTGAAAGTGACTCCACTTCAATCCTGTGATATTTGTACAGGAGCCACGCTGTTGAGGTTTCAGCTGCTGGATGAAATAATTGCTGCCTAAAGTGAAGCAGAGTCTGTGAATACTTCACTTGTTCCTCCCTCTGAAGTCTTTTTCAATTTTTCCCCCTGTGATGGTCTTAAAACTATTGATTGACAGACCTGCCATATTTGGTAACCTTTCATATTTTTTATTTTTCTTCAGTAACAGTAACATGCAGACTTCATAAAGAAGAAGAATTCTAAAAAATCTTCAATGTATTTTTAGGTAAAATACAGGTATTTTTATTTGGAATTATTTTAATGTATTTTAAAGGTACACTTATATGAATCCCAGACTGAATTTTCTTGGTGAATGACAGCAATGCCCTGATGTTTCTTTTCTTTTCTTTTTTTATAAATTAAAGCATATTATGTTTTTTGTACATTTAAAAAAATATATATATTTGTAATTTGTACTAAATTGGGTTCAGTGTTTTACACTCAATGTGATCAATCATAAAGAAACCAAGTTAAAATTGGACAGAAATTAAAGTTTAAATGATCTAATAGAAATGATATTTATTTATAACTTTCAGCCCTGGTATTAACTTTACACCCCTCTCACCAACATCATGTGGTACAACATAAGTGTTAACAGATCTGACCATTCAGCAATCGTTGGCCTCTCACACAAACACAGATACACACACAAACACAGATACACACACACTTCTTTAGCCCCTCGTGGACGATGACGAGGTGTCGTTGACAGCTCAGAGTATCCTGTTACAATACAAACCACTCATTGTGGTGTCAGCCATCATGTAACTTAAAGGTAATTTAAAGACCACCCATAACTCCCCTCTCTCTCTGTGTCTGTCCCTACCCTCACACACACGCACACACACACACACACACTGTCCCAGTTTCTTCTGCCTCCGTGACTGTGACATATGTGCATAATTCAGCAGCTAAGATTAAATGTTACCAAATGTGCGTCATTCTAAATGAGGTTTGGATCACGAATTAGCTCGTAGCTAAGGATGCTGTGGGTTGG